ATCATCCTTGTCAGAATCTCCTCGTCGTTGACTGCTGTTGGCGTTTGCATAGCCGTCACCTGCGAGACCTGATTGGCAACTTGAAGAGTGACTTGCCTGGCCGGTCGTTCCTCGTAGTGCCACCTGCCGTGCCACCGCCGCCTTCCGTTTCCATCGGCCCGATTTCGTTGATGTGGTCGTTGGTGTTGTGCGTCCAAAAAGAGAGAGGACTTTCACCACAGGGTTGGCGCCAACAGGAAGATCGGCCGTTATGCGCTCGTACGCATGTTGGATCCTAACACGAACGGGTAGGCCCATCCTCTCCTCCTCAAGATTCGTCAAGAGCAGCCACAGAAAGAGAGACCAAGTGAAGCGAAATGTCGTTGACGACCGTCGTAAGAACGCATGTGTCCTTGGCACCACATGCTCAATCACCAGTCGGGAGTCACTCTTTGGCATCCGGGTGTAGACTGTAGGCAATAGGAGCCGCCCATACGCAAAGCTTTTTCGCAGCACGAGGCGTCGATCCAGGTTGTTCAGGCGAATGTAGAGATCAACACGCCAGAAACGAGCCTTCCAGCGACCTCATGTCAGCTTGTCAGCAGTAGCACCATTCCTCTTGCCAGAGTTGCAGCAAATCCGAATGTTGAATCCAAGAACACAGCAATGAGGAGCGCACAGGCCAGAAATGGAGCCGACCGAAAAGACAGCCTTGAGAATGCTGCGGTAGGCTGCGTTGCATGCGGGAGCCAACTTGAGATCGCTTTCGGGGTAAAGAGGGATGCATCTTCCCGAACCAGCGGCGCCATATGCGCAGCACAAACCAGCTCAGCAGCTCATTGCGCAGGAAGGTAGGACCCGCGACAGTTCGGCTGCTGCTTTGAGAGGTTGGTTGGAGACTTGGCTTGGCGCGGAGCTGACGAAACTAATGGAAATATTTGCAGGTAAGTGTGGACTTGTGTCTGTTGGCTATTGCAACCATGGCTATTATTTCTGCTAACTCTATATTTTTGTTTGCTTTTAGGATTGCTTTCAGCCTCCAAGGATGGCAACACCTGATCAGGTAGATGTGTAATCTTTTTAGAAATGGGTTGACTGTGGAAAGGACTCGCCGGAATGGCCAGACTAGCTCAGGTACAGACAAGCTGTGGCCACCACCCCTGCTGATAGTAGGCCTGCAAGCTAGCCAAGTACAGAACTGTTGGCTCTGCTTGGCAAGAGTGGATGCATGGTATTGGTGGCAACAAGCCAGCCAAGAACTTCACTGCTGAAGATATCAGGGCTTGCAAGTCAACCTACTCCAGGAGGAAGCCACTCTGGACTCTCATGGCTACACTTGTCAATGCTCAGAAAGCCCCAGCTTGGGTCATCACCAAGATTGAGGAGCATTACAAAGGAAGTGTTTTGAATATTACTGCTGCCATCAAGCAGGACACCATTATGGGCAGTCTGCATGAGGATCTTTGTATTGTTCGTGCTCAGTAAAGTTGACCTTAGTTTGATAAGCATGGTAGCCATGCCTAATAGTGAGTTTGTTACATGACTTTCTTTTTCGTTTTCGTGGACTTGCGATTTTCGAATGTACTGGCTACTACTGGCTACTAGCTAGCTAGCTACTACTAGCGTGGTTTCCGTGGACTTGTGCTTTTTCGAACGTACTGGCTGGTAGCTAGCTAGCGATTTCGAGGACTTGTGCGTTTTCGAGATAATAGAGGTGCGAACGACGTTATCTTAACAGTGAGTAGTAGAGGTGCGAGCCTCATTTATCTTACGGCCAAGGCGGTGACCTTTACTAGGTCGTCACTGGTATAGAGGAACGATCGTACCCAGCATACACCAGGTGTCGCCTGGTGTTGGATACCTTGATCAATACGTCCTGTAGGATCCACTACCACAGGTACAGGCTCTCAGTATTTCTCTCAGTTCTGGGATATACTTTTACGGTATTATACCAGAACGAGCTCCGAGTGAGTCACAGAAAAGAAGTTTTCCGTTTCATCGTTTCCACGTTTCAACCTAACTTTACATATAAGGGGGGTTTTAGAGTAGGGAAATTATCTACGGAAGCCAGCCGGGGCCAGGCTTAAGCAAAGAACAGTCGAAATTCAGGACTAGGTTCTGTGGGATCAGGGGCAAGAAATTGAGGACCATTAGTATCAAATAAATTTTGTCTGCAACAAGATCTGGGACTCTACGACGTCGCGTTCGGGTAGCTGCGTACGGTAGGCGGTAGGAACCTTGCTGCTTGCGGAGACGGGAAAGGGATCATTTATTTCGTTAGGAAAAGACTGTCGGGTATATTGTGGTACCAGTGCTAAAGCTTATGAGATCCCGATTAGGTTGATGGTGGATCTGTAATGCTGTAATGGCCATATTGGACAGCTTTAGCTAAAGAGTGTCGGGCGCTTCGTAGTACTTTAGAAAGCTCATAGAGCTCCCGGTTAATTTGGATGGTGGATGCTTTAGTTGTCTTGACATCACCTCCTCACTTAGTACTATTCAAGCAAAGAACTTCGATACCATAACGCACAAAGAGTACATGTAATTCTACAGCACACCAAGACATATATATGATGGCGATAGTTTGCTATCTGCAGTGAAGAGTACGATAGGTTGTTTCTGGTGTGAATTCCGAGTTCCTCCATTTGACCTAGACTACAGGAATATCTTTTGCTCCAGTGCTGGTTGTCGGCGAAGCTGTCACCCTGAATCTCCTCGCCCACCCTGGCCCCGCAAAATTAGCCCCATTCACAATTCCAGCTCACACAATAGGATTGAAACTTGATAAAGTGCTAGTGCTACACTACTAATGGAGATTCCAGCTTTCATCACGATCCCAACCATCACCCCCAACACTTGCAACATGGGAAGTAACAGTAATGCCTCCTCAGTACCAAACAATCGGTGGCACAGTTCATCTCCATGCGGTCGTGATGGAATTCCTCGAACTCCATCTAGACCTGTCTCCTTGCCTGACTACTGCAACCGTTGCTGCCATTGCGCTGCAAGCACAGCTCCTCGCTATCCCATCTGTCGCTCCGAAAGCTGTGGTGCCCCTGGACATCCCGTCCGTGAAGTAACAATAAGATCTTTGAGTATGACTCAATAAGTGTTGGAAGCCACCACGGATCCTTGTCCTCGGAAGAAAACTTGTCGGAGCTCACTTGTTTCAGACGGATGGCCTGCATCTGCCGTTGCCCTACACCACCTTGCCCCGCAACCCCAGCACCGTACCCACACGCGGGAGCCAACGAAGCCTGTCTCCTTGCCCGGCTACTGCACCCATTGTTGTCATTGCACTGCAAGCGCTGCTCCTCACTATCCCATCTGTCGCTCTGAAAGCTGTGGCACCCTTCGATACCCCATGCGTGAAGCAACAATAAGCTTGTTGCTACTATCCTCCATTCCCTCGAGTATGACTCGATAAGTTTTGGAAGCCACCGCGGATCCTCATCCTAAGAAGAAACAATTCCCACCTCGTCTCGCAACCTTAGTAACCACACGAGGGAGCCAATGAAGCCGGGAAGACGACTGTTGTACAAGTTAAGTGTTTCAGTCTGGTGGGATGCTATATAGACGTAGAGATTATGTGGTACATTAATGGACAATAGCGAACAAACCCTAGGGAGGCCATTCCGTATTTAGGCATCTTGCTTCTTTTCTTCTGCAATCATACCCAGCTTGCTCAAGGAATGAAGGTCGCGATTCAGGCCATCCAAACTTCCCATTGTGAAAGGAGAGTCGCGGTTGACAGACGGGTCCATGTAGACAACCTTGTTGACACCTTCGTTGCTTGCCTTGACCATGTCGGCGTAGATTTCAAACAAGCTTTGTTGCTGGCCGAGCTCTGTTTGGCTTAGGAGCTTGGCGCGCTCAGCTTCGGCAGCAGCCTTCAGGCGGATTGCCTCGGCTTCTGCTTTGGCTTTCAGGAGAATGGCGTCCGCCTCAGCTTTGGCTGCTGTGATAGTCTGGACTTTCAAAGCCTCCGCTTCGGCTTTGGCTGCATCAATCCGACGTTTGTTTTCAGCATCAGCAAGCGTCGCAAGAGACTTTGCTTCTGCTCCAGCCTTGATGTTTTCACAATCTGCTGCGGTCTTCTCCTTTTGGGTGGCGATCAGGTTCTGCCCCTGGAGATTGCTCAGTTGGTTCTCGGTGTGGGCCGTTACTGTAGCACAAGGAAAGACAAGGGGGCGAAGGATGAGATACGTGCATTTACAACATTTCAGCAGCAGACACCGCAAAACTTACCCAAGCAATTCTGCGCAATCTCACTGGCAAGCTCGTTGTCCATGATCTTGAAAGACTCCATTCGAATGTTTGCAATGTCGACACCATAGCGCGTCACAAAATCTTCGTGCAACTTGTTCATGAACTCGTCGTGGGCACGATCAAAGAAATAGGAAATGGCGGCAGCTTGTTCGTCTCCAGTGTTCTCTTCATCGTCCTCACCAGCCGCGGTGACATCAGCCACAATGACATCCTGAGACGAAGGCGAAGCAGACACCTGACTGCTTTGCGCAATTTGGTTCAGAGCCGTCGAGCGAATGATGTTGGTCAGTGTTGCAACAGCTGTTTCCCGTACGAGATCTTCCAGCTCGTCCGTATTGAGGGTCTGGATGCACTTTTCTGGGTCCACAATGCTGTAAAAGACATCGGCACGAACCCCAACCTTCACCAAGTCTTTGGTTTCGCACACGAGAAAGTCAGCGTCATCCTGCAAGTCGGCCTCCCAACCCTTCTTCTTTGTCGACTTGGCAATCTTGTGGCTGGCACCGTATGTGATCAATCGGATGCTGCGTTGTTTGGTGGATAGGAATCTTTCAAAGAGGTGCGTGCTGCTGTCAATCACATGGCGTCCATTGGTGAGCACTTTGAGGTGTCCCTTGTCGTACGTAATGCCCACCTCGCCCGTGTACACTTGCAGAACTTTTTTGGATCCAAGCTCAATCTTGCGTTCGCTGGCATCACAGAAATCCACAAAGTGAAAATTGTTGCTGTTGAACTCGTAGAGGCCGGGTTTGTCCAGCAAAACTGGTTCGTTTCGGTTCCACGCCAATGCAATCTTTCCCCGGGGAATCTGCAGGATGGTGATGGTCCCGTGAGAGATGCAAAGATTGTCGGGCGAGATGATTTCCGTGCCTTCATACGAAAAGTTGGGGGATTCAATAATGTGCTGGCCTTCACCATAAAGCCGGGGTAGATTGTCACAGTTCGCTTTGGCGACTTGGCCTTTGACAACATTGAGAATGTGGATGGAATGATGACCAATGTATTCATCACTGACTTTGACCAGGCCTTCAAAACGAAAGAAGGTAGACTTGATAAAGTGCTCGCCTTCTTTAATGAGCCGGGGAACAAGAGACTTGACTCCATCGCCACCCACAACCTCCACCCAAACCTTTGCGTTGCTTCCGCGTGGGACATTCAAGTAATGGTAGGGGCCGTGGTTGAAATACTGTTTGGCGGCATATGTCACTGCACCCAAAAACTGGACGGTACCAGAGTTGAACACATGAGTGCCAACGTCCAGCAAATGATGCACACCTTGGATCGTGATCAATCCGACCTGTCCTTCAATGATTCGGACAATGAGGACCTGATTGTCTTCTGTTTTGATCAGGTCCGTGTCCAAAGAAACGTTGGAGTAACCCTTCACCCAGCTGGTCAAAGGGTCCAGCAGCCACCAGCGTCCCTCGGGTACGGCATAGACAATATCGTATTTCTTGTAGAGAGAAATGCAACCGGGGCGCACGGTATGTCCCAAGTTGCCAAACGCGCTCTTGTGAATTGTCTTTTTCTTGATTGGCTGCAAGTCATGGTGGTTACTGCTCCGTTCCGATTCGGCGGACGGTAGAGGCAGAACACTGTTGACCATCTCCGCGATTGTCTCTGGCTGACTTTGGTCCCCGTTAGGCTGCAACAAGGGCAGCTCTTTGAGATAGCCAAGGCAATCGTCCAAGGTTTGAGGCAGGGCGTTGCTGCTTTGCTCTTCGACGGGATTTTCAATCAACTTGAGCTGGCTAAAGTCAAGCACCGAGTCTTCTTGCTCTTCATCGCCAGCCGTCGCAATGGCGTAGGTGCTGGGTTCCTCCAGAAAGTCATCATCGTCCTTCAGGTCAACGAGGTTGAGCTCGTCATCCATACTGTTCTTGCTGAAGTTGGCCATGATGTTGGTTTGTGTTTTGGTTGCTTTGTTTTGTGGTGGCTTAGGATCTGAGAGATCTTTTTGTGTTTCTGTTTTCTGATTTTATGAGAAGCTGGGATAAGCAGAACCTTCCTTCCGGCGCGGCTCACCCATCCAGAACCATACGGTAAGGATCACGACTGATTGTCTGTTCTTTTGGTTGGGTTGGATGGAAATGAATGGTTGGGCAAAGCGGACCTCTTTCTTTACCTTTATCCCACGGTAGGCACGGTACAGTACTTATGCGTTCCCTACCGTACCATAGCAAAAGGAGCAGTGCAATTAATTAGCTCAAGTCGTGACGGAAAGATATCCCCGACTGGCCTGCGCGAGGGTTCTTCTTTTTTCCAGGTAACGTTGGCGTTACCCATGACGTGGATAATTCGATGATTGTCTCGATGAACATCGAATGTTGGATTCGAACTCTTCTCTCGATCTTCATAACAGATCGAGCACAGGCGTGGCCATTGGAGGCACCACCGGTCCTGTGAGAAGCAGCGGAGGTTGAGCAGTCATACTCGTGTTCTGGAATGGCCTTTTATAACCATTTGATTGTTTTGCGTTGGCCACACCAAGACCACCTATCCTGACCTCGAGGCCCGCACTAGACTATCCACAACTAATTGAATCCATCCAATCGTAGTCCGAGATACCTACTACCTTCATGCAGCACCTTCTTCGGGAGAGTTCGCACGAACATTTGTGGAATCCACTGGGTAGCTAGCTAGAGAGGGTTACTGACGGTATGTTTTCGTTGATTTGTTTCCATGGTCTAAAGGATTGCTTTTGGCTATTCGTCAATTCTTGCACCTGCACTCGTGGTCTCCATCCTCGTGATTGTACTTGCTCGTTCTACTGTAGTAGTCGAGTAGCTACCGGTAGTCTACCGCAGTATTCTACATGTATTCTCCTCTCTAATCTATTCAATTCTATTCTCACAGGGGATTTCTTCTTCAGCGCCACAATCGAATTGTGCGCGAGCTGGCTGATATATCTTCCATGGCTTTCATGGCCTCTGCTGTCCGCGACGAACCCTGTATCACTCTTGGTCGCCCAGCTATGGCTCTGATTGACTCTGCTGATTCTTCCCATGCTCCCACTCCTTCTGATCCCGTCGTCCAAGACCGAGATGATCTCCTGGTTTGCAGTTTCTGGCATCGAGGTACTGATTGTATCTTTGATGTCTCCCTCGTGGATGTTGAGTCTCATGGTCGCGACGACCATTGTGTCACTGCTGGGAAGGCCCTTTCTCAGCGGGAGAGGCAGAAGAAGACAAAGTACCAGGCTCAATGCACTGCACAACACTGACACTTCACCCCTTTGTTGTTCTGCTGATGGCCTCTTTGCTGCCGAAGCTACTGCTGGTCTCCAACGGCTCTCCCACCTTTTGGCTCACAAGTGGTCCAAGCCCTACTCTGTGGTTCACTCTTTCATATCTGCAAGGTTGAGCCTAGTGCTCGTTTATGCAGCTACCATGTGTTTGATAGGCTCTCGTGTTTCAGCTCGCAAGGTTTCCAAGCGTTGGGATGACCGTGGTGCCCTTGATCTCTTCCGATAGTCTAACTCCTTTGATCCTCCCTGCCCTCTTACCTTGCAACCCCTCCTTCTTTGGTTTTGATGCTGCTCTGGTCACTCGATCGATTGCTCGGCTCGCATTCGTGCTTCCTCTGCACCCATCCTCCCCCCGTAGACTAGACTAGTAACACCTTTCTGTATTCTATTCTCATTTGATTTGAGAATCAATCCTTTGGGTCTCAGCGATAGGGTACCGTACTGTACTGCTACCAGTACCGGTACGTACGTGCAGCAGCACGGTGCAAGGCAAGGCACAAGATGTATTATTGGGGAATACGGAAGCAGGGAGCCGTCATCTTAGGATACCGCTTTTTGTACTTTCTGTTCTCTGCTCCCCGTATTCATTACGTCTAATTCTCTTAATTCCCCTGCGGACAGTAGAAGAATCGAGTCGCCACGAAGATTTAAATTAAAGGTTCCCTTCTGGATTTAATTCAGAGAGTCCTTCTTATGTTTTCACCACTCATCCATAGTCATTAAATTTATTTGAGACCCCTGCAACATTAAAACTTTTTAACTTTTTACTGGAACTCAGTTTAGCTGTACTAGGACGTGGGAATGGCTTTATTACCATACTCAGCTATAAGAAACTTCTAGTTTCAGTGCACCCCTTGGGTTTTCTTACCATGCATGCCTCACCTTTTTGCAAGTACCGGTACCCTCAGATTGTTCCTTACACAGCAGCTAGCTAGCTTTTAAAAATGTTCAGCAGAATAGTTTTCTTAGTTTACTAAAGTTCTATAATAGCCTCCTCCCAGAACTGTTGGCCCTCGGGATCTCCTTCTGAGGCGTCCTTCTCACCAGCATCCTGCAATACAACATCATTGCTGCTAATTTTGTTGTTGTTGTTGTCATCATCACTGGGTTGCTGCATCCTTGGGCTTGATAGGATAGCCCTTCTTGTTCCTCATGGCTCATGTCTACCATTTTTGCCTTTTCGGCTTTGGCTGCCATTTGTGGTTTACAGTACTGTAGTTGATTCATACGGTATGACTGACTGACTATTGAGGCCTTGTTCATTTTCGGACCCCCTTGAAGCAGTGTGGGCAATGCACTTGGCCTATGGGCTGGCTTGGATGAGCCAAATAAATGCAATTGGAAGTCACCCAGTTGTTTCTGAAAACTCAGGTATTGCTTTCTTCTTTTAAAACTGAGGTATCTTAAAAGCAGGTTGGGCGTGAACGTAGGCTCGCTGCACAGGCACAAGGCCAAGGGCAAAAGGGCACAAGCAGGACCAAGCCAGCGTTTTACGGCAACGAATGCCAACAATACAAGCACAGCTCGAGCAAGCAGCAAAACAACGTGGTCCAGCTCGTGGTCCTATTCCTGCAAGGTGAACACACAACAAACGGCACCAGTGCATTACAATACAGCCATACTGCAGGGTGGTACCAGCTATCAGAGCTCTTGTCATCACAACTTACGGTATCCATACAGAGATAGATAGCAAGACAGATAGGTGCGATACGAGTACCACAGATAGTCAGATATACCGTAGTCCAGAATGGGTCGCAACGTGAGAATGCTCCTGAAGCTACATGTACTACAGGTACTACTAGCAGTACTGCCAACGACGACAGTTGCGTTGGGCGGCGAATTGGCCAATTACACGACGTCTCCATTGGACCTGCGTTTGAATCATCGTCAAAATGTCTGTGCCCGCTACGAATCATTTCGCAAAGGTCAGATTCCCCTCCGAGATGCGCTATCGGGAATGGAACTGCGACCCCTCATGCTGGCCCGCAAGTTCTTTGAATATTCGCATGAGACTGGAATTCCCCGTGGCGATGCCGGGTTGTTGGCGACCATGATGGATGAATTGGCCACCAGTGCCAACTTTACGTGGCGGCAATCGTTTGGGATTATGGAACTGCCATCGACATTCAACAAGACGTGGACGGAAATGCTGCTGTGGGGTGTGGAAACCTATGATTTGGCCGTGTACTCGTGGGATCAATCCGTGGAACGAATGGAATTGGGTGTTTCCTTTATTGAACCCTTTTTTGACGGCAGTTTGATTTTGATTGATCAGAAAGATCCACCTGTGGATACCAATGCCATTAATCTATCCAACTGGACCAAGCCGTTTGAACCGGCCGTTTGGATACTCATTGGATTGACCATTCTCATGTCCGCACTCGTCTATCAGCTCATTGAACATCTCAATGACGAACGAGAAAACAGATCCATGGGACAGTGGTTCTCAGATAACTTTGTAAGTGTGCTCACACAACACTTACATGTACAAGATTTGAGTATGGAGTCCAATCTAACTTACACTGGCTCTTTCTCCTTACTTGACCTTATTGTTGTTCACAGTATCTCAGTTGGCTCAACTTTACGCAGAATTTCGAATACGCCCCCAACTCGACTCCGGGTCGAATCTTTGGCATTAGCATGGGACTCTGGGGGTTGGTCATGACAGCCACTTACACGGCCAATCTGGCTTCCTTTTTTGTCGCCGAACTACACTATCCCATTGTCGTGGAGTCCATTGAACAGGCCGTACAACTCGGGTATCCCATTTGTACGTATGGGAATACCAATGCCGAAAAAATGGTCAAGGAAAAGTATCCCGATGCACTCGGGATTCTCATTCCCAAAGAAAATGAATTGGAGACGTTTCTGGCACTCAAACGAGGCGAATGCAAACTAGTCATTGCCTACAAGGACAACTGGTTGAGTTTCCGGGGCAACAAGGATTACAATCCCGATTGTGACCTCGAATGGGTCGGACGGTCTATTGAAACCATCAAATCGGGTATGGCCATCAAATCCGATGCCGGCCACAAGTGCACGTCGCTCATTCGCGATGTCATTAATCTGCACATGGTCGAACTCATCAAGAATGGTGTGCTCGCGGATGCCTGGGAAATTCATCGGGCCAAAACACGCAATGTCGAATGCGACCTCGACGAAGAAACCGATACGACTCGACGTCGAAGGAGAAGGCTGGAACAACCACAATCTACCACCAGCATGATGCGTGCGGTTGTACCAGCACGGGACAATGACGACTACGATGATCCTGCCAGTAAAGTGCTCAGTCCATCGGCTCGACGAAAATTGAAAAGCGGTGGGGGAAGTGCGGCCAAGTCGACTTCGACAAGCAGCGGCGAACAATCGTTGACGGTACAACAAATGCTCGGAACATTTGTGTTGCATTGGGCATTAATGGGCGTCGCATTGCTGGTCAGTGTCTCATCGCCGTGGTTTCGAAGGGTCTTCAATGCACCCAAAGGAGAACGAGTCACGTATCGAACCCACGGACCCATTATTGGAATGCCGCCACCACTCAACACGTATGTCGTGAGCAACAAGCAGGATCCTACTACTAGTGGTGAGTTTGGTACCGGTAAGCCAAAAGACTATCGAGCCGCAAAACGAGATAGCCACGTCATGGTGGATGCCAGTGCGAATAGCGATACTGGACCCGTGATTCGGTTGAAGGATCTCATGGATGTGAGTTTGCAATCCAATACTCGCTCCGTGACGGGGGCGACCACGGTAGTACCCGATCATCGGAGGAGTGCCCGGAACTTGCTGTCGTCAACGACGACGACAGACTGTACCACTGCCATTCGGACCAACAGCAATCATAGCCACGTGCGATCTTCCGGGACCACCGCAGTACGAGCATCCGATTATCGAAAAAGTGTTCGGGATTTGGCAGCCATGGTGGAAGCAGCAGGTCCCATTGACTTGTTTCCAAACCATCACCAGAGTCCTAGCTGTCGCCATTGTGGATGCGCTTCTCCGCTGATGAGCAGAACCAATAGTCACGACAACAACGAGTTCTTGGAATGTTCACCCAATGGCAGTAGCTACAACAAAAATTCTCAAAACGGTCGTCTCAAAATGTGGCAGCCCAAGTACCGAGCCAAGTACAACGATCATGTGGATGATGATGAGGATAGTGAGAGTCCCGAACAGGGTTGGCGCGAAGCTCATGAAGATCTGCAACGGAAACAGCAGAGTATGGATACCAAGATGGATCTAGTGCTGCAGATGCTGCAGGAAATGAACGGTTCCAAAACAACAAAACTATCGGCAACGACAGAAAGTCACTGCAACGAGAAGGATGGAGATGCTAGCGAGCTTTCTTCGAGGGCACTTCAAAAGAACGTGGATGCTCGTGGAGATTCCAGCCCGCCCGCCGCGACAGCACTCCACGAGACTTGCGACGATCTACTGGGAGATTCCCAGCAGCCGTCGTCGTCGACAGAAGTTGCTAGTCAAACGGATGAAACAAAATGATGATCCCAAGGAGCCGTCGCTAGCAATGCGCGCGAACGCAGATGTTGCCATTCACAATGGCGGCATCGAGGAAGACTTGGGTGCTTCCCTCCACAAGAAGCTATCCATTATTGAAGAAAACTCGCTTTGAACGGTCTTGTCATTTTGACGGATGGGTTCTCTGGTTCTTGGCCGCCTTGTGTTGGGGCGTACCATACAAATGTGTTGGGTGAAGCTTCAACAACACGCATAAATAGACTCATACATATATGCACATCATCCTTCCGGGTTCATCTGGACGAACTACCAAAATTGACAACGGCGGTTGTCCTCTTGAGTAACTACCCACAAGTAAGTAGGAAGCTAGGCGCACTCGATGATGTCCATCTTTTCGCAGGAAACAGTAGCTCTGTGGCTCGCCTGAAACATTTGGGCCCAAGGACTAAGCAGCAGGTGAGACCAGAATGAAAAATCGAATCAAAGCCGTCCTGGGTGCTGACTTCTGAGTTTGTAGATTTCCCCAGCTCATGCTGGCTTAAAAAACGAATCTTCGGTTTGGCACACCCGAAGATCTTCTCCCTCTCATCAAGTCTTCCAGCTATCTCGGTCGGTTGCCTTGCAAGCACACTTCTGTTTCTATTCTCACAAACTGCAGCAGCAATTAACAATAGTAATTAAAAGTGGCGAGTGCCTTAGCACGTTTTCGCCTGCCTACCCTCCTGCATTGTTGCTCCTCCTTCTTTCTACCACAGCTGATCCGTTTCCATTGATTCAAATTTGACTATGAAGTTGTGTTGCATCGGCCTTCTAGTGGCTGCCACCATCCATGACACCGTTGCAAAGAAGTATTACAATCATCAGATTGCCAAAGACAGGACTGGCCTTTTGGGCCCCCGTTCCCATCACATCTATGAATCTCAAGAGGACGAAGAAGACGACGGAAATGATGTCCGTAAACTCAGAGGGTACCAAGTGAGGAGAACCGAGGGTGAAACGGGGCTACCTTCCTTCCCAGATGACGATGAGGAACCTTCGGGTGGCAATGGTGAAGAAAGCTTTCTCCAGTTCTACACTGCGGAATCATTGGACTTTTTCAAGAAGGGAATTGACCCAGAAAGCTTTGAATGGGTTGATCCTGATGCAATTGTTCCTGGAGGGGTCACTTGTGGATTTCTCAAAGCCCCGCTCGGATCCCTGTCTGATGTGACCTATCCCACAGTGGAGGTGTACGTCTGCATGCGATTTGCAGTGAATCAGCCTGCCCCCAAAGGAAACCTGTTTGCTCACTGTGGTGGTCCAGGATCATTGAGTGGTTGTGGCGCCTTTGCACCATTGGGTTACTTGGGTGAAGATGTTGCAAATGACTACAATATTATCTCAATTGATCAGGTATGTTTGCAATGAGTATCCTTGTTTTGGTCCAAGCAACCAATATGATCGGTCATGAAGCTAACATGTGCTTGTACCAACTTTCCAGCGAGGAATGGGACGTTCTTGGCCAAGCTTCATCCACGAGGAATGCTCGCTCAACACATTTGAAAGGGCTGAAAATGGTACCATCATTGGTACAGTAAAACCACCAGAATTTGACGCTTTCGAAGGAGCAGAGTTTACTGAAGAAAATATCAAGGCCGCTCTCCCTCCATATCGGCGAACAGTGCGGGACTGCTGGACGTGTACACGGTGTGACTTCCAATTGAATGCTACGCAGGCAGATGGGAATGTCACAAATTTCCACTTCTTGGAGTATTCTGGCACAAAACAGTAAGGAAGAATCATTTTGCGTGTTTCTGGTTCATCTGATTTTTGTGCTGCTCTCAATCATGTTTTCTTCTATGGTACAGGTTGGCAGAGGATAGTAAGTGGGATGTGTGCATTGAGTGATCACCAAACCATGACATGCGCCTGAAGAACCTAAGCTTCCCTTTCTCTCAGTTTTTCGCATCAGGCTTCTATTGAATGCACCTCTAATGCATATGTATGGTGTGTCATATGGCACAGGGGTGTTTTCGACCTATGCAACTGTATTTCCAGGCAGTACTGGGCTCCTTGTCCTTGATAGTAATGTGAGCCCAAATCCAGACTTTTACCACAATGCAAGGACACAGGCCATTGGTATCAATGAACGTATTGACTACATCATCTTCTCCTGCACTGCACGGAATGTTGTCAATCCTGGCAGCTGTCCAGTAGAAGACATGAGGCAATGCATTGGGGACATCAACAGACTCCTTGAAGATAAATATGACTCTACTCCTGGAGGACAGGGCGCAGAAGACCTTCAAAATCTCGTTCGGATTCTTCTTGGCAATGTTGGCAGGGCTGAGGAAATCTGCAATGCAGCTGCAAATGGAGATACTGATCTGATCTTAGAAATCGAGGATCAGCTGACACCTGAAGTCAATGTAGATGAACAACTGACGAAGCAGGAAGCTGACTTCAATCCAGCTGCTTTTCCAACTTTCCCCGATTTGTTTGGTTTTGTTTATGGCAACCCTGACTATACCATAATCGATGCAGGCCTGCAAGTATCAATAGCCATGGTCAGAGGTCAGGACCGTGCTGGGGCCATTTACGACGATGACAGGTTGGCCAAAGAAGCCATTGAAATCAATGAAAGGTATACAGGTGCTGGTACTGGGGTACCTGGACAAGTTTTTTTGGGAGAGTATCTCACTGGGTATTATTGGCCAAAAGCAGTCCCTCTGCCACCTGCTGGAAATACATTTGCTACTGGTAACCACTGCCAAAGTCCATGTTTGCTTGACGCTTGTTTCGTTTTTCATCTAACTTGAGCATGTGTTGAAAACTGCTATGAAAACCGCAGGAATCCTTGTTGGCCAACTCTATGACTCGGCCACACCATACACCTGGACGCAAGAGATGAAGATGGCTTTCCCAAACACGCATCTACTGACCAGTCAATCTCTTTTCCATGGTCTTGGTGATGCTGATCCTGATTGCCAGAGGCATGTGAAAGAATATTTCAGGGTTGGGTATCCAGTGTTTACAGATGGAGAAGGTAAGTTAGCCACACAGAATGCATGGGAAGTCCTTGTCAATCTTTCCTCTCTCATTGTTTTTGTGTCGTGTACTATAGTTTGTGGAGCGGACTTCGCCAACCAGGATGCACTGGCCAACGTTTTCAGGACTCCTGAGCTTTAGGACCCCACAAGAAGTTGTATGCACCGAACCAATGATGATGTCACCGACAGCTCAAGTCCGCTTGCGTGCGTTTGTTTTACAATCGGATACAGGACATGGAACCGAATGCTCTCTTAGTTATATGTTTGTTTATCTTATTAGTTTTATGTTTCATACGATTTTAGCAAAGAGTGTTTGCTTATCTTATGACGCGGTTCTTACTTGCAAGGGACATTTATTCACACAAACTACAGATACTTTTTCATCAATCTTTTCAAAACAAACAAAAGTTTGGTTGAGTCACCCTGCGTCATAGTGAAATCCGCGACGAACTCGATATCATTGTCTGTGAATGCTTTGCTTCTACGGTTGTTCAGGCTGAACCAGAAAAACAAATACTAAATAGATACGTTATTGAGGAGCGAGGGGGGCTAAGCTAGGCAGAGCAGTGGCTGCGGTGGTGGGTGTACTGGGAGCAGGGCAAAGGAGGGGAAGGGGGGTGCATGGAGGAAAGCAAGGAAGTACAGGGGAAGTCAAGAGGGGGAAAGGGGGGCAATATTAGCGGAAGAGTGCAAGTGCACCATCGGCATCCCAGAGAGAACGGCGGTAGGTCATTGCGCCAGCAGGGACAAGAGAGCCACGCATGCAGAGGTGGCGGGCCCGAAGAATAGCCAGGCTGAACCTGTGGCTTCTGGTATTTTGGCGCTCTTGGTTCTGCATGTTGTCGCCGCCGTGGAATGAAAGAGCTTGAGTCGCCACAGATGTATCCACGTTGTGCGGTCATCGTGGGGGAAAGAAAGATCGCAAAGCTAGCCATCGGTAGCTAGTAGCTAGGAACAACTTCCTGCTATCTGGGTTCGTTTTGGGGTTGGCTTCAAAATCCAGTTGGATTGAGATTCTCACAATAATTAGGCAGAAGCAACCGCAGCGACAGTATTACGTAAGTTTGATTCAGTGAGTTGGTGAGTAACAAGCATGATCATGCAATAAGGATCCGAGATTGACTGTCAGGCACTCACTCTTGTTATGCATGCTGACGCAGAATCCAGCCGTGACACGAAGCTACTTCTAGACATTTGCCATGAAATTATCCTCTGCTGTTACCGCTTTTGTGACCCTTGTAGTTGGTGTGGTAGCGGCCAAGCAGGGCAACTTGAGGAGGAAGTTGGTGTCAGATGCAGACGCCAGGAAAGCCTGCAATGGTGCAATTGAGTTTGACCCATGTGTCACCGATGTCAAGGCTCTGGGTGATGTGAAAATTGCCGAAATTTTCTATGGGGTGCACTAGCTAGATTTGGCTCCTCTCCGCTCCTACCTGAATGCATTCCAATGCACGGATGAAATGAATGCACTGCCTCAATTGGCGACACGACAGATGTGCCTGGCATAAAGTAGCTACAACGTAGTGATAGACAAGGCTCATACTTATCTAGCACGAAACGTATTCATGAATGCTCTTGTCTTTATCACTCGAAGCACCTTGCCCTCCAGCGATAGTACCGCACGATACAAAAGCGAGAAGCTTGTAGTTTCCACATCATGTAGCTATTGTGAGCATGAACTGAACAAACGATGGGTATTACGCTGCAACGGCAACAGACATTCTAAAATATACCAAACAGAGTTGCTGTACCCGTGTGGCAATCCAACTAACTGTTCTGTGTACAGGTACCGGACCATGGTGTACTTGTTTCCAGAACGATACTCCGTTCGCTCACTGCGAACCAGGCCGCAGTATACTTGCGGAACTCTTGTGTGACTAACTTTTTGGATTGAATCGTCAATCATTCTGAAATCATCTGCGGCTGGATGCTTCGGACTGTTGCCGTGTTGTTTGCCCAACACAACAGTTAACTGCGCCACACCCCGTTCAAAACCCAAACAGAAAGACCGCGCGGCCTTGGATGGAGGCTTCGTGCGTTGCCCACGCAATGAGAATTGAGCGGTAAGAGTGGGGGGCTGTCACTCTAACCATAGAACCAAAGAAAGCGTCGTGGCTTTGGCATGCTTGGTATTGAACAGAACATCGGGTGGCTTGCTTGGCGGCTGATAAATTGGACGAACGTATGGAAGTCCTCAGTCCAAAAAGTTCCGTCGCTTGAGCAAAGGCAAAATGAATGTCTCGTCACGGAGCTTCGGAAGCAAAGCAGCAGAGAGGTGGGCGCAAAAGCGCAAGCAAGCAAGGCTTGTAGAGAGATCCGAAGAAAGAAGGATACGACCTTTTGCCTCCTCGCTCCAATGGAAGTGGATGTTCTTTCGTGTCAGCAACGGCGTTGAGCCGCCATTCCGATCTGTTCCCAGCGATCAAGAAATAAATGATCATCCGCAGCGGCTTGTAAGAGTCGGAGCAGCACTCGGAGCTCAATCTAATTAAACATGTACGCTCTCTGGGTGAGTGTTGAAGCAATTGTACCACCACCAAGCTAGCTTCATGGGCCACAGGTCGGGGCTCGAGCTCACTCTTTTTCCGCGGGGTAAAAAGTCTTGAGGAACAGATCGATTACAGAGTGCAACTTCATTGATTCCGAAGTCATCTGATTGAGCTTCTGGTAGTCTGATTCTGCAGGATACCAGACTGAGTCACTCGGCTGAGGCCATCGCATCAGCCAGCCCCTTGGCTCGAAGAAGGGACTCGACTCGTCACTCAGAGTTCAATCAGAACGACCGCAGAAGCTCCCAAAGGGTGGTGGTGCAGACGGCGGCTTGGTTGAATCGAATCCATGCGATCTTGTGGATCTTTGAAAAGTTACCGGTACGTACGCTGTACGCACTTTGACTCTGGCCTTTTTCACGGCATCGGAACTCGGATGGACTGAAGATTCGATGCAAATCCAAGCGAAGATGACTGGATGAAACCAAGCGCTGTTAAAGCTGTCAGAGCTGCTGATTCCACTTTTAGGTCAAGTGGAGCTACTAGACTATAGCAAGATCATGTCAATATGGGTCTATAGAGGTTGTAAACCTCCCCTCCAGACTAGGATCCAGGCAAAGGCAATGGCCCTGGAGTTATACCAGAGAGGCCTGCTGCATGTATCACAGACAGACTACTTCCATCCAATTTACCCTCCGTCGGAGCCAAACCCTCATGACTGACCATAGATATAAACAAACACCCGCTGTCCATAAC